AAACGACGGACATAGAGGCGGGGATGGGAAACGAGATTACGGCTTCTACTGGCGTCTTAATCTGATAAAAATTAAAAAAAAAAAAAAGCATCACTAAGAGGCCAAATGGTTATCCGCCGACTTAGCCCTCCGGGAAACCGGCTGGTATCAAAGTCGTCGATCCAAGGTCCCTGCGCGGGTGGCAGCCTTCGCGCCCTCCGAGGATAAAAGTAAAATAAAATAAACCGTGCCGCCAGTAGGCCCTAGAGACAGAGGGGTTAATGAGCTAACGAGGAGCTGCGCTCGCACCACACCTGAAGCATCCAGTCCCGGAGCGCACCCTCTGCGGGGGCTCAAACTAGCTGGGCCACATTCGCAGACAGGTGGCGAGGCCGTCCTTTTTGGGCCCAGCCCCCAGGGCGCCGCATTAAGGGTCCAGGAACCCCAGGGACCTGCAAGCAGGCTTCGGTCCGGAGAACTGGCGCTCAGCGGGCGGCCTTAGTGCCTGGTCTCTGTCTCCCCACCTCCCAGAGCAGGGGACTCCACTCCGGGGCCGAGGCTAGGTCCCGCGTGCGCCCCGCGCTCTGCGCTCCCAGTCCAAAGAGAGCCCAGGCACGCTCGCTCCTGGCTCCCGGGAAGCGGACAATTAGGAAAACAAACTTGGGTTTACTGCCCTCTGACCAAGACCGAGGGGAGCTCCAGGGGTCACGCGAGCGCGCCCACGCGCATTGGCCAACAGCGCCATGAGCCCAACCAAAGCTGCGAAGCCCACCAGTAAGCGGTGGGGGCGGAATGAACACTTCTCATTTTTTTTAGGTGAGGGAGAATAAAATGCGAATTTTTATCCACTACAATTGCCTACGAATCTGCATATCTCAAATTAAGGTAACTGTGTAACAAAAGTTTACCGAAGGAGTAGGGGGGAAACTCAATGATGTTGTATCAATTTTGTGTCCCCCCCCCAATAAAACCCATAGCTTTGGCCCTTTATCTTTGGCTTTAATAAAATAATGATTCGTTGAGAAAATGGGGTATAAATCTTCATTTTGGAGGCAATTAAAGTGTTGATTTCATTCATGCCCCTAAGCGATTCTTGTAATTTGCTCAAATAGCTTTATGTACCCAGCACTCCGGAGCTCTTAGAATCCCATTTTCTAGTTAGGCTTGTTGGATTACAATTTTTATTCAACAGCAGCTACACGAGGGTTCCTCAGCGGAATCTGCATTTAACAGCTCCAGGGCAAGGGCTGGCGGGCTGAACCAGGCGGGAGGCCCGGCAGCTCGCAGGGACCGAGCCGGGGCGGGAGCCGCCTGCAGTTTTCCCACCTCGGCGGGGCCGCACAGGGATTGCGCAGACTGCCTGTTCTGTGCACTCGTCTACACTGCCGAAAGTTTGCAACTTGCCAAATCATAGTCAAGAACGGGCGCGTTGGCGTTTTTAAAGCTCAGCTCTGCCTGCCCTCCACTGCTCTTGGGGAAAGGAAGAATTCGGCCTCTGTCGCGGGATTACCAGGAGAAATCCAAGCTGGGAATTTATTTTAAAAGGGTGATGTTGAGAGAAGAAAACTTTAAGATGACACCAAGACAGACCCAGGAGTCCGGCACTCCTGCAAGGACTCTACAAGATAGCAGCTAGCCAACAGTGATCATGGCAGAGCTTGCAAAGGAAAACCCTGCATGACTGGCTGTCCTTTGGCTTAACAAAGGCAGGCTGATCTCTCCCCCCCCAAGACGGAACTCACGTGCCAAGTCAGAAAGAGAAACAACTCTAGGCCTTCACTCATTTATGCAGAGGCCAGAGGAGACCCGCAACCCAAATCTCTATTCGCGTTGCAGCAATTCACTACGGAGAACTGTCCTGAGCCCGTTTCATCTCACCCGCTCCTCAGGTTTTCACTTTCATTGCATTTTTGCAACTTCTTTGGGCCAATCCAGAGACGCAGCGACAGGAGAGAGAGAGAGAGACTGGGAGCAAACAGTGGTGTTAGGGTGAGAGAGGGAGAGAAATCCCCCCAGCAACTCCAAATAAAAGTCATCCCCACTTAGCAAAGCAGCGGAAGAAGGGCCTGGAGGGAGGACCGAAGAGGAGGGGGCGAACAAGCAAGGGCCGGCAGTTGAGAGCGAAGGCGGGGCAAGGCCCCCCACCGCCACACCGAGGGAGTCGCCAGGGTGCCCCTGACGCTGACGCTTCCAAAAGCTGCCAACATAGAGGGCCCAGTGCATGTACCAGCTGGAGGATGAGTAGAAAGGAGGAGGAGAAACGTCCATATTTATCTGTTTTTATAACCTCGGCCTGGTCTTATTTTTTCTACTAAGTACAATAAAATGGGCGAGCTTGGAGCTAGCACTGCACAAAGCAATGCTCAGTGAGGTCTAGAAGCGTTCGGCCGAGGAAAACTGACAAGACAGGCTAATGAACCGTATAGACAGGGAGAAAATAGCCAGCATTTGCTAGATTTCAAACCCTCGCTGTCTCTCTTAGACCACCTATCTTGGGTTTATTCCTAATAAAATAAGAAATAAGCAGACCCTACACTTTTCTTTTCTTCGAAATAGAAGGGGGAAAAAATGCTCCAGAACAAAGCCCTACAATCAGAGGCAGTCACTGGCAGTTAACACTCCCATTATTATAGAGGGTAAATAAAATAAAGACAAAAATTAAAAGCGACAAGAAACAGGTCAAGTTTGCAGGCAAAGCTTTTACAAGCTCATCTCTCCAGGTCGAATCCCAGAGCCAGCCTTAATGAAGCAATAATAGCCACATTATTCAAAAATTTTCATTTCGATGGAAATGTATCTAAAAGGGACTTAATCATATGCAAATAATAAAAGGAGGTGGTAGTGACCCAGCAAGCAATATGCATACAGATATTTTTTTTCAAGGGATGTTGAAATTGAAAAGCGCATACCTGGTCGGTTAGATTTGCTGATCTTGTTATATCTTCACTGTCTGATTTTGATCCTCCTTCTCTATCGTCTATCACCAAATCGATAGGCATTTTCCCTTTCAAACAGCTAATATACCGGTGGCAGAAATTGTCACATAATTCGTGTACCTACATTATGACAGAAATAAAAAAATGGAAATATAATCAGGAGTGCATAAATGACATTGACAAGTGCAAACCACCCCCCTTGTGAGATCCAAACTTCCAAATAGGGAAACACAGAGCAATTGTCCTCCAGAGACCCCCAGACGCATCCAGAATTAGGAATAACTTTCTTTTCTTGCAAAATAGAGATATCCCAGAAAATTGACAGTGACAAGATGATTCACAGGCTACAACATATTCAACACCCGTGTTAAATTCATCTGCTCCCAGGGCCGTGGCCATTAGAGAGGTGACCTGCGTGGGTGACATTTAAGGTAAACTATTTAATTTCATCCACTTACTTTATCATAAGTCCTTTTCCAATGAGGCTAAGGGAAAATGTGAACATATATATATATAATATATACATATATTATATATATATATTAACACACACACACACACACATATACCTCCAAAGGACCACTACTATGGTGGCATAGGATGTATGTCTGACAGCCCAAGTCCTTATAACATTTGTAATTAGAGATTCTCCCCATAAGAAGCATATTTTAGGTTACTTTTAAAAAATAGAAGAAAATCAAATTGCCAGTACTCATGATATGAAAAACACCTACAGCCACAAAAAAAAGTATCAAATTGATTTTTTTAAAAAAAGGAAAAAGAAAGCTTCAAAATATTTAGGTATTAGTGGAGCGGTCTCTCACAGGCCTCAGGCATCACTGACATGCAAAACTCACAAGAAACCCCAGTGTGCTTGCAATTTAATGTTAGTTTGAATTACAATGCATTAAGTTTTTATTGCTGAGATTTATAGAACAGCTAGCAAAATCATGTTATCCCACACCCTTTCCTGAGTGTGAAGGTGGGGTGTGTGCAGGATTCACAGATTCAAGAAATTGACACAACTATCAACTCTGCTTTGTCTCTGCACAAGGTTTAATGTGCCTCCCTCACCACCTCCTCCAGACTCCCTGCCCACTCCTCCTCCTCCTCCCTCCGCCTCTCCTCTGTGTCTGACCTGCCGCTGCTCTCAGACTGTCTTCCAGAAACTCACCAAAACTAAACAAAACTCCCTCACCCACCCACCCAGAGGTGGCAAAGAAAAGGGGGAAGAGGAAGAGAAATCACAAAGGTAAAACCTGTGAAGCAAACTCACAACAGCATTCTAAACATCAAGAGAGATGCATAGAATTGGAACTATTTATACAAAGCCAGCAAAGTATTAAGAATGAATGCGAGGCTAGGGCATTTGAGATGCGGGTTTTAGTGGCTGAAATCGTAATTAAACTGCAAAGAGAAATGGACGCTAAGATTGGCCTTGACACTAATTACCAGAAAGAAAGACATTTATGCAAATGTCTCAGAAGCCTGAACTTCAGCCATTCAGAACCCTCCCCCCACCCCACCCAACCCCACCCCCTCAAGTTTGGGGGTGAGGAGAAAGCAAAAGGAAAAGAGGCTAGAGAAATTACCTTCTCTAATTCCAACAGATGAAACCTTAATACTTGTATGGCTTGAATCATCTGCAAAGATACAAAAAGAATGAGCACCCTATTCCTGGTTTGCAGAAAATTGGCTGTCACAGCTCTACTATCTCCAGCCTATCCCCCCCGCCCCCCAGTAAATAGAGTTATTTTGATTTATGGCAATAACACTAAAACTTAATAGCAGCGACTGGGTACCATCTAGAGGTTTATATTTCTTAAGGAGAAAAAAATAGCTAAAACAACAACAAAGCATCTAAGTGGGGATCATAAACACTCTCCTCTCCCATGGCTCTTCCCCTTCTCAGCCCCACTGCCCCCACCCCACCTGCAAGGGCCACATCCCTGGACTAGATGTTTCCTTGTAAGGAGTGCACGGAAAATATTCCAAATAGTCCCCAAAGTGTGGCTTTTCACACTGCAAACTTTCTGCGGCTTTCCGCACACCTTTCAAGCATACTGGTGCTCTGGGGGCTCTTGCCCGGTTGCTGCCCTCGTGACGCGACTTTGAGGGCTGGGAAGTCCGCAAAGTTTAAGCACACACGCTGACAGGCCCGGAGATAAATCCCCGCGCTGATTAGAGCTGCGCTGCCCGGCTGTCATAAAAAACAAAAGCTCGCGTTTCCCCGCGCCGGCTTGCCCGGCCCCTCTCGAGATGAATTTATTTCCCCGGGATCTTGTCTCGGACCACTTGTCCGTGGACGGAAACGTCTGCAGCCGCCTTGCAGCTACGGGAAGACCCGTCTCGAAACCTTGGGGCTCTTAAAGCAAAGCTGGGGGCTTGGGGGGAGGGGTGATGGGGAGGGGAGTAAGGGGTCCGCTCTTACCAAGTTATCCAGTTCTGGATTAGAAGAAAATAGAGGTTTTTCAGCGCGAATCTAAATACAAGTGAGAAGAAGGGGGGGGGAGAGAAAGAACATTTGAAATCTGGTCGCCTTCCTAGTTTCTTGCCTCATTACACTGTCGGGGGCAAAGATGGACCTCCGGGAAGGACTCGGTGACACCGAGTTCGTCCCGCGCAGAAACACTTCAATGTGAATCAAATAAGCCAAAAACAAGCCCAGAGCTCAGGGTTACTTCTACCAGCAACTATGCTTCTAGAGGACGCTGCCTTGCTCGCCAAGACCAAGGCAGCTACAGCGCGTGGTGTTTGTGATTTTATTTTACAGAGTGAGCTTTCTGCGTTAGGTTATGAAGCCTGAGTTGGGAAGATATGGGTGATTTTAAGTCGTCCGCGGACACTCATACAGGAGGAAAATCTCAGGGTAGATGTCACAGGCATGGCTTAGGGTGGACTATTTGCTGGTTACTTTTGAAAATGTGCTGGGTGAGGGAGGGAGTTTCTTTCTTCCTTTCTTTTCTCTTTACTTTTTTAAACACGTATTTTGCTGACCTGTTTGGCGAACACGGCTATATCTTCATTGAATGACTCTGACGAGCAGACGTCACCGCCCGCCACCCCCGGCTCGCGGGGGGTACAAGTAGCTAATTCACATTTCTCAAAAATCAGTGCTAAGAGAGGGAAGAGGGGGTGTCTGCAAGAAAATACAACAGTCACAAACAACACAATGGTTAGTCCCGAGTCAGTGAAAAAGGCGCCCAAGAAAAACAACCAGAGGAGCTCCAGGCAGGGACCCCCTCTCTGATTTTGCCAGCTACTTTTTTCCTCCGCCCTCCCCCCCAGGTGACTGCTCACCTCCCCTTCCTCCTAGGGCTCCGAAATCGGAGGCCCTTAGCCACGGACAGTATCTGAGGGTCGGTTCAGCATATCTGGCCGGAGAAATTGGTAACATTTGCTAAGAATAAAACCCAAGCGGATCCAGCAGCCATTTTGAATTAAGTTTCCCACCCCGACAAGCCCTCGTCCCTCCACGGCACATCTAGGACCTGGTGGAGAAGAAAGGCGGTGGGCGTTGGGGTTGGGAAGGCTCGTTCAAGTGGGTTCCTCCAAGGCAGCCTTGCGAAGCCCAAGACTCGGGGGGATCTTGGTGGCAGGCACTCAGCTAACTTGGGGAAAGGACCTCTATAGCTGCAGGACCGACTGTCAGGGGGCTGCACCTACCGATCCCGATCCCACGGCCCTCGGAGAGCAGGAAGGCTCCTCCTCAGCTCCCGGCACACTTCCCTCCCTTAGCCAATGGCCCCCACTGCCCCCCAAAGAAAGTTCCTTCAAATGTTCCTGCGGTAAAGCCTTTCATTTTTTGTCTCTGCGGAATGGCAAAGCAGCTAGAATAGCGAGCGAGGGGCCTAGATGTCGCTTATCTCAACCCATAAAAAAAAAAAAAAATGCTTCTACTAATGCTCAAGGAGGTGTCTCAAGTCTTTTATTAGCTCTCACAGCCCAGCCAGGAATTTAACAGTTTGGGGTCCTTTTCAAGCTTCCCCAAATGTTCTGTCCCTGAGCCTAAACCATTTGCAGTTAACGCTGCGGAGAGAACGCTGGGATTTCAACAAGCACATCGCACAAGGGACCAGAAGATAAAGCAGAAAGGGTTTTCAGCTGGGGAGGGTCAGTGTGGCCTGATTTTTTTCAAAAGAAGAAATAAATAGAAATAAAAGTTGCTGCAAAGTAAAACGAGGTCCCCAAATTCATGAGCACACAGTAGGCACAAGTGACTTTCAAAGGATTTTACCAGCCCTGGGTCTAATCGACTGGCCTGGGAGAACACCGTGTACACCACAGTCAACAACACTGGCCTGAGAGCACCCCCACACCTACTTCCAAATCCTGCAGGTTTCGCCTTTGAACACAAAGTACTAAAACGGCTAGAAGTTTCTTAATGTCTATAACAATTCAGAGCGAGATCGCTCCTTGCCTATGGTGGTCAAACTCCCTAAATGCAAAGCATGTTCCCCCTTGCCTGACCTGCAACTGTCCTCCCTTGATTTTATTGTGCGGCGGCCGAGCCAGCATACGGTTGCTGAGTAAACTTAGCAAGTCAGAACAATCAGTGGCTTAAAAGATTTTCCCTTAAACTAAAAGTTTCGTTCCAACACAAAGGCGCCTACATTTAGAAATCCCCAACGCTCTCCCAGCGAAGTCGAGCAAGCGAGGACTCCAACCCGCTGAGCTACAGAGCCAGGGTCTGAGAGGGGACGAGGGACCTTTGGCAACTTCTCCTGCAGGGCGACCCCCTTCGCCGGCACGGCCTCGGCAGAGCTGGGTGCTGGGCAAGCGCTGAGCATGTGTGCAGATGGGGGGCGTCCGGGATGGCAGGCTGCCCCCCGCAAATTCTCCATGCAATGCAAATGAAAAGTTACCAAATAGTGTACCTCCAAGCCATAGAGCTCTGGCTTTCCTTTTACCAAAGGCACAGGGAAATAGAAGAAACATCCCGTCTCTACTACTTAACCTGCTGCCCATTGTACCTACCCATAAATGGCATCTTTATCTCTCTTTAAAGCGTCATTGACGGAGGAACCCATGCTGGGGGCCATGGCGTTGGTGTGAGCTGTGTGCGGGTACTGATGCGAGTGCAGAGGAGGCCCGTGGTTCAGGTGGTGGACCGGCTGCATGGACCTGGCCGCATGCGGGTCCCCATACATCGTGGAGGGGATGCCTACTCCATCCATGCCCCCATAATGGGGTAGATCGTCGTACTGCATGACAAACAGGAGAAAACAAGGTTCAGAAGGCCAGGCGGGCAAACAGGGAGACGGCAGGGCACCGAGCTTATATAATGTCAGTCCAGCTGGATCCTTCAACCCGGAATTCAGTGGCCTTGCATCTCTAAAGTTGAGATTTCTTATTTTAAAAATGATATCTAGAGTAAAAATTCTAGGATTCCCTCTGAGACTCGGCTGGGATGAACGGTCTTGCCCTAACTTGTGTCCCTATCAACTCGTTCAGAAATTCAGGATCTTTTTGGCAAGGAAGGAAGGAAGAAAGAAGGAAAGAAAGGGAGGCATTCTCCCGGAGGGCGGAAGGTAAAACGTGCATGTCTCTAGAGGAGGAAATTCAAAATCACAATAATAAAACGTGCCAGGACAGTGCAGCAAACCCGCCTAGTTTCACAGCCCCTTCCCATCAGGGGGAATAAAAAAAAAAAAAAAAAAGTTACGATGGGAACAGCTAAGCTAAGCACATGAATTCAGACAGGCTTCTCATTTTATTTCTCTGCCAGCGTGGGGTTAGGCAGTCCTGCAAGACACTGCATTTCCTTTGCTTTCCAAGGCAAACTCTGCTAAATTATACAAAACTAATTGGCCTCCTTATAAGTGAAACTTAGAGAAACGAAGCTTTTCATGTTCATTAGAGCTGAATTTAAAATTGGGCAATTTCCCCTCAACGTTAAAGAAAACCTATAGTTGGAACAGTTAGATATTCTATTTTCTCTACTCTTATGAACTTTCCCCCCAGACTAGAAGTCGATGAGGCAAATGTAATTCATCAGGTGTAAAGTAAATTCAAAAGCAAATGCACATACAACCCCCATTTTCTCTCTTCAGAAAAACTACTTTCATATTGATTGTCATTATTTTTGTGTTCAAAATTTAGCTATTTAGAATTTTCTCCTTGCTTCATTCCGGGCAAGTTCTTTTCCCAAGATCTGGAGGCGCCAAGAGTGAAATGATTTTCAAAGAAAAGAGGAATTGCCACTTTCATCTCCTTAAAGCCAGAGGTGTGAAAATAGTTTGGAAGAACGCTGACATTTGCCTGAACCAAAGCAGTAAAGAAAAATGTGTCAGCCTAGTAACTTTCTTTTGCAAACAGGGCTTTGAGGGCCAGGACACAAATTATGCAAGGAAAGCTTTTGGTAGCCCCCCCATTTCTTTTAAGAAACTACCTCAGTTGGGTTGTCATTGTCTCACTTTACTCTCACTACATTTCCATTCAAATAGGAATATTGGGGAAATTAGTATTACATTTTTAAAGTGAGTAGCTGTGTCCTTAGTATCCAATTAGTGCAGGGCTTTTCTAACAAAAACTTTCAAAGTATTACCTTTTATAAAAATCCATGCACATTAAAATCACTTTTAAAAGATGAATGTTTTCCGACCCCCAAAGCCATTGTACTATGACAAAGTCATTTGCTTAAAAAAGCTAAATACTTCTAATGATATTAAAAGATGAGCACAATCAATAACATATCAGAAGTTTCTAGCTGCTTCATTTACTTTAAAAATAGCTTTAAACTTCTGCTCCCTGAACACTCACATTATACATTAGATATCTAGCGCTTTTTGTTTTTGTTTTTTAAACAGATGATTGCCCGAGCTTGTATTTTTATTTATATAGCTGCTGGTTAGGAATCTATAGAAAACTTGATTACTTGAATTAATTACATGTAACATACATAAGTCTACAAATGCACTGAATAAATTCTCTCGCTTTAGGCCACGGCTTTAGGAGCCTCATTCAAAAAGACAGAGAAAAAAAAGGAAACTTTTTAGCAGTGTCTTTCAGCCACGTTTCAATTTAATCTCACATTTGAGTTCCACAATTGTTTTTTAATACGTACCCTTTGCGCCATCGGCCTCCCTGGCTCCCTTCCTACTTCAACTTCTAATATATCCTCTTTAAGGCCAGTGTGAAAAGAAACAAATAAGCAAACTCCCCCGGAAAAAAAAAATTTTTTTAAAGCACGACGAAAAATCCCTTAACGTCTCCAGCAACGTGAGCTACTGGTCCCAGATCTTCGGTCTACGGGACCTGAAGCAAAGCGCCCGAGTCACTGAGCATAAAAGCGCTCCGTTTCCAAGACAGCAGCGGGGGCAAAAAAAAGCAGATCTTCTCTCCCCCAAAAAATCAGTTTAAAAAAAAAAAAGAGCGCCCCTCAGACCCAACTACCAAATCTCATGGCTTTCTGCCACTCCGGCTGTCAATCACAGGCGAGGTTGTCAACGTGGTGAATGAATGATCATCCGCTCTGTCTTCTTCTGGTCAGAACACCTCAAATGTTAATATTCAAATGCACAAAGCCCTAGCGCTCGCTTCCCTTGAATCAGTCCTAATTCCTAATCAGTTTCTCTCTTCTCTCGCTCGCTCTTTCTCTTTCTCTCTCTCTCTCTCTCCCTCTTTGCAACTGCTGCACTGGAGGGAGATTAGAGGAGGAGGGTTAAAAAAAATGTCTGTCTGAGTTTGTCTTAAAGGAGCCACGATCGATGCTGCCCGCTTGCAGTCCCCGTGCGTGTGTAAAGTGTGTGTTGCACAGGCGGAGAGGTGGATTCCGACCAGAATGCTAGAACCCGGAAGTAGTGGTGGCCATAACAGGTCGCGTCTTACACAATGCATTGGGCTGCAGCAAGTAGGCTCCTCGGCAGGGGTGGGTGCGCGAAGCGAGCTCTGGCCGCACTGGAGAGGCAGAGAGGCGCTCCATTAAATCGCATGCCCAGGCACAAACACCCACACGCCCAGGGCACACGCGCACAAACGCGGGCAGGAGCCCCCGGCCGCAGGCTTTATTTTCCGTATTCTTTTCTCTCCCTCCCCCTCCAAACTCTCTCCCCAAAGCCGACTCTCTTGAAATAAATTGGGAATAAACGCGGGGCAGGCAGCAGCGGCAGTTATTTTGCACAGGGCTCTACGCATAGACTTCATGACTTTCCTCGAAATTATTGGTCTGCCAGTATTTTTCGGGGCGGAGGGGACTAATGCGGAAAGTATTGGATGCTCAGAACTGACCACCCCAAGTAGAAAAGTTAAACGGGGAGAGAGGATGAGCAGGAGCAAGGCTGGGAAAGGCTCTGCTAAGGAGTCCCGAGAACGTGGGGTGGTGAAGGCTGGGGCTTTCTGCAGATCCAGCTTAGAGTTGCTGTCAGAAGTGGACACCCGGCCCAAGGAAAGGAAATGCTTGCATTTTCTCACTTTGGGGTCTGGACCTCCCCCACCCCCTAGTCCCGGAGGCCCCCAGCCCCAGCCCCGGCGTCCTGCGCGGAGTGGGAGAGGAAGGGAGGGAACAATGAGCCGAGAGCGAGGAATGTGCCCCAGCGCCTGTTTACAAACACGAAGCTATTTATGATCGCCGGAAAGCGAAACCCGATGCGGGCTCGGAGCAGCCCAGACTTCGCGGGTGGAGCCCGAGCCGGGGAGACTCAGGGAAGCAGGCTCTTTCTCCGACCCGCTCCGAGCGAGGAAGTCGTGCGCCCAGGGTGCGGCGCGGTAGGGTCGGCGCGCTCGGTTCAGGCTACGGCAGCGCCGCCTTTGTCTTCGAAGCGCCGAGGGGCTCTGGGCTCGGCCGTGCTGGGGCCTGGAGGGACCCCGCGCCCCAAGCTCTTCCCCCCCCGCGACGCTCTGCGCTCTCCTCCCCAGCCCTTCTTCCCCCCACTCCGCTTTCCAGTCCCCATTCCGTCTCAAGGAAAACTCCCAGTGCCAAAGAAAAAGAAATTCACTTCGGGAGCTGAGATTTCCCAGACAAAAACCTGTCCCAACCCGCAACTCGGAGGCTCCAACCAGTCGCTGATTTTAACTTTCTCCCGTTAAATACCTATTCTCTGGCCTAACAACAAAATCCTTTCTTTATTCTCCCACTCTGAGCTTGCCTTTTATTATTATATTTAGTGGTGTTATTTTCGTTTTTATTTTTGTGCCCGCCCGGCTCTGATACGCCGAGATGGCTCGGCCACAGCAGCTCGACCAGCCGGCTGGAAACCTCACATCCTCGAGCAAGGCTCGCAGCTCGCTCGGCTCGGAGAAGGATTTTTTTTTCCTCCCTCCAGCTGAAACCTCACAGAAAACTCCCCCTGCGGTCGACTGGAAAATGAGCTCACCCAAATCTCGGTAGGCAGCCGTGGAGGAGGGCTCGGCCAATCAGGAGGCGCTCCTGCCAAAGCGGCCGCGCATTGGCTGCGGGGAAAATCAATTATCAAATAATCGATCAGCAGGGAGCTTCGATCTGCCGGGAATGCAAACTGCCAGTCCCCATTCCCGCCCTGATGGTGGCCAAAAGGCTGACTCCCCCCAAAGCAGTCGGCCTCTCGCTCCCAACGCCCCCACCGCCATCCCACTCCGCCAGCTGCGGACCAAACCCTCGTCCTAAAGGGGGATGTAGATAGGAGAAAGAGTTTTGAGAAAGATTAGAGTGCTCCTATCCGCAGAGGTTGTTTGGAAAAGGTTAGGAGCTCTCAAATGTATTGAGGCTAACTCTTAATGTGCAAACTAAAAGAGAATTTGCATCAGTCCGAGAGGTAGGACTCAAGTTTCTGTTAAGTGGGCTTTCGAGGAGCAAGGAACACAGGGCGAGCATCAGAACCTGTATCTGGAATCAGGTTGCCTCCAGCGCGCATAGTCCCCCTAAGCGTTGTCTATTCCTTTAGTACTTCGCACGAGTCCTACCCCCACCCCATAGTGGAGTTTTCATAAAGCCGAGCAGCTGAGTCTTCCCAGCCTCCCGCACACCATCCCCGCCCAGACACCGTACTCGCCCCATATGTGCCTAAAGGACTGACACATTCACACCCAAAGCCTTCAGATGCGCTTTGCCTTGAAAGAGCTCCGACTGTTTAAAAAACATCCTAGGATCCTCATCAATTTCTCTTCTCTTTTCCTTTCTCTCCCTCTCTCTCTCTAACCACACCCCC